CTGGAGTGGCTTAATCTTTCATCAGTCAATCTCCCAAATGATACGTGATCAACCAGGCTGTGGTTCATACGTGAGACTACTACCAGCGCCGTCTATAACAGCCTCGTTAGCCAAACCAGGCCTGGTCAGAGATCGGGCCGCGGAGACAATGATTCCCGGACCCCCCAAAAAGGTAAATAACCTGGGTAAATACTGGTTTGGAAAGAAGAATTGTTGATTTATGGAACAAGTTATTGGGTTATAGGCAAGACACGGGATCGCCTTATGTTGTGAATGTGAGAGAACAAGTGTATAACATGATGGTTATACACATGGAGAACAATATGAACACACAACACACACGAGAACAAGTTCATATAAGACAGAGTACACGAATAACAAGAGAACACACATAACAATGTTCTTCTTACACAGAAGAAAACACATAACATTTAACACACACGAGAACACCTTAACAACCTAAAATAACCCGCACAATAACATATAGAACACTGGAAGAACAGCGGTAGAACAGGAAATGGGTGACATAACGCGGGTAGCCCACCACCCATTTCCCACCGAGAGAGACATTTCCAGCTACCAGCACCAGGCAGGTACCGAAGGATGGTACCATAGGTGCTGGGACCACTCGCTAGGTCCTCCCGACACACACACACATAGGGTGGACATGATCACCACATTCAAGATTCTGAAGGGAATTGATAGGGTAGATAAAGACAGGCTATTTAACCTAAGGGGCACACGCACTAGGGGACACAGGTGGAAACTGAGTGCCCAAATGAGCCACAGAGATATTAGAAAGAACTTTTTTTAGTGTCAGAGTGGTTGACAAATGGAATGCATTAGGAAGTGATGTGGTGGAGGCTGACTCCATACACAGTTTCAAGTGTAGATATGATAGAGCCCAATTGGCTTATGAACCTGTACACCATTTGATTGACAGTTGAGAGGCGGGACCAAAGAGCCAGAGCTCAACCCCCAACAAGCACAACTAGGTGAGTACACACACACACACACACACACACACACACACACACACACACACACACACACACACACACACACACACACACACACACACACACACAAAAACACACACACACACAGCCTGGTGGATAGCGCGCAGGACTCGTAATTCTGTGGCGCGGGTTCGATTCCCGCACGAGGCAGAAACAAATGGGCAAAGTTTCTTTCACCCTAAGTGCCCCTGTTACCTAGCAGTAAATAGGTACCTGGGAGTTAGTCAGCTGTCACGGGCTGCTTCCTGGGGTGTGTGTGTGTGTGGTGTGGGAGAAAAAAAAAAAAAAAAAAAAAAAAAAGTAGTTAGTAAACAGTTGATTGACAGTTGAGAGGCGGGCCGAAAGAGCAAAGCTCAACCCCCGCAAAAACACAACTAGTAAACACACACACACACACACACACACACACACACACACACACACACACACACACACACACACACACACACACACACACACACACACACACAACACACACACACACACACACACACAAACACACACACACACACACACACACACACACACCACACACACACACACACACACACACACACACACAAAACAGTAGCAGAAATCGACAATATTTGACAAAGATGAATTCCTGAAACCTGGAATTTCAGGAACAAAAGGTCATAGATTTAAACTAAGGAACAAAGCTGTCGAAAAATATATATTATAAAGTTCACTTTTATAGAGTGGTTGGAACAAGTTTGGAGAGAAGGTGGTGGAGGCCAAGACCGTCAGTAGTTTGAAAGCGTTATACGACAAAGAGTGCTGGGAAGACGGGACACCACGAGCGTAGCTCTCATCCTGTAACTACACTTAGGTAATTACTCTCAGGTAATTACACACACACATAATAAGATTATTTATATACAATTTTTGTCAATATAATTATTTACTAATATTAGCATCAATATTAATACCTTTTATCTCCTTAAAAAAAAAAGTTCTTTCCCCTATAATTTTATTGAGGCGACAAAATTTCTTTATTTTCCCTTAGACACTGATGTTAATTTAATTTTTATTAACAATATTGTCTTCGGTCCATTTTAAATCGATTTTACTTTATGTTAAAATGTTCACGGATCTTATGCCCATCCTGTGAGTGAGCGACAGAAAGGTTCAACTGTCACAAAATGGGTTTCACTATCTAAAGGCCAGCATCTGCCTTGACCTTTCAAGTAGCGTTCGTGGCGGAAACAGCAGGAATCCGACTCAAGTACATCTTCCAAGAACGCCAGCGACGCAGTGCGCGCGCCTTCAGCCGCCATCTTGGAGCGCCACATCCGCTCCTCCCTCAATGAGGATTTTGTAAAAATTATTGATTAGATACAATGTTTTTGGTGGATGGTCTTGTTTTAATTGATAAAAGTATCATTGTTCGTGACTATAATGAAGTCATCACGTGGATTGGACGTCCATGATGACTGATTCATCATGGGCAGGGGACTGAGGCTTCAGGATTAGGCTTCAATAGCATAGGCTAACCCTATACTATTTAACTTGGATTTCAGGAATCAGTTTATATTCAAACAAATTAGGTAGCGAAGTTTGCTCTCAAGAGTTCGATCCCGCAATCGATTCCCAGGCAGTGCCGGACGTTTGGGCACTGTTATCTGCACCCAATAATGAGAAATAATATCATATTAAGAATAAAAATGAGAGTTTGAATGATAAACTCCAAAAGCGATGATAAATCTCGCTTATTTAGTCTTAACCAGACGTATGTTAGGACTAATGTAACATAGGTAAACAGTCAATATATGGACTATATTTTTATTGTTCACTCTCTCAATGTTTAATGTATTTGCAATATCATATAACCATTATTTAAGATAAGAGTAAAGTATATAAATACTGTTAATGAATGGCCGAGGGCAGGTTCTGGGAATGTTGGTACTCAGAAGTGATAGTTTTGGTGTAGGCTTGGTCACGCTACCGCACGCGCGTGTGTGTGTGTGTGTGTGTGTGTGCGTGTGTGTGTGTGCTGGCTTAGTTGTGCTTGTGGGGGTTAAGCACTGGCTCTTTGGTCCCGCCTCTCAACTATCAATCAATTGGTGTACAGGTTCCTGAGCCTACTGGGCTCTATCATATCTACACTTGAAACTGTGTATGGAGTCAGCCTCCACCACATCACTGCCTAATGCATTCCATTTGTCAACCACTCTGACACTAAAAAAGTTCTGTGTGTGTGTGTGTGGTGTGTGTGTGTGTGTGTACTTATCTAATTGTGCTTGCGGGGGTTGAGCTTTGGCTCTTTGGTCCCGCCTCTCAACTGTCAATCAACTGGTGTACAGATTCCTGAGCCTATTGGGCTCTATCATATCTACACTTGAAACTGTGTATGGAGTCAGCCTCCACCACATCACTTCCTAGTGCATTCCATCTGTTAACTACTCTGATACTGAAATAGTTCTTTCTAACGTCCCTGTGGCTCATGTGGGTACTCAGTTTCCACCTGTGTCCCCTTGTTCGCGTACCACCCGAGCTAAATAATCTGTTTTTATGTACCCTGCCTATTCCCATGAAAATTTTGTATGTGGTGATCATGTTTCCCCAAACTCTTATGCTTTCTGTAGTTGAGATGCAATTCACGTAGCCTTTCCTCGTAACTCATGCCTCTTAGTTCAGGGACTAGTCTAGTGGCATACCCTTGAATCTTCTCCAGCTTCGTCTTGTGTTTGATAAGGTATGGACTCCATGCTGGGGCCGCATACTCCAGGATTGAGTCTTACGTACGTGGTATACAGGGTTCAAAATATTTCCTTGCACAGATTTTTAAAAGCAGATCTGATGCTGGCCGGCCTCGCATACGCCGCTGATGATATTCTTTTGATGTGGGCTACAGGAGACAGGTTCAGTGTGATATATCAAGGATTATATTCTCCACCTAGGCCTACTTACTATGAATCAACAGGATTATATTGTTCTCCTAGGCCTACTTAGTATATATCAACAGGATAATAGTCTTCACTTAGGCCTACTCGACCTCTACTGCTTTCTGAATATTACGATATTATTAATGTTTTCACTCACTAAAAATCTTTGTGTTCTGATAATGTCATTTATGTCTCGTAGAAACTCTTAGAGGTAGACCTCGTAGAAGGTCTTATCTTTCACCCTTTCGTCGTAGCTTAGCGTGTCTGCCTGTCTGTCTGTCTGTCTGTCTGTCTGTCTGTCTGTCTGTCTGTCTGTCTGTCTGTCTGTCTGCCTGCCTGCTTGCCTACCTGTCTGCCTGCTTGCCTGCCTGCCTGCCTGCCTGCTTGCCTGCTTGCTTGCCTGCCTGCCTGCTTGCCTGCCTGCCTGCCTGCCTGCTTGCCTGCCTGCCTGCCTGCCTGCTTGCCTGCCTGCCTGTCTGCCTGCCTGTCTGCCTGTCTGCCTGCCTGCCTACCTGTCTGCCTGCCTGTCTGCCTGCCTGTCTGCCTGCCTGTCTGCCTGCCTGTTGACACGCTTGTTAGCCTGCCCGTATCTGTGTCATTTTGTCATTAACTGGGACAAGCTTAAGATGCAGAGTGCTGCCAAGTACAGACCTGTCGAATGATGAAGTTTTATACAATTCTGTCAAATGTCTCTGTCTAAGAAGACTGCTTGCTTACCATTTTCCCTGTCAACCCGTCTCTTTTATGTGCGTGTGGGTGCAAGTTAGCGCGCGTGTGTGCGTGTGGGTACATGTGCGGCCGCGCGTGTGTGCGTGCGGGAGGGCTTGTGTACGTCCGGATATTTTGACAACCACTTCTAGCGACCAACAGCTCAAGAGGGGTATAAGTCCCCCTCCAATGGCGACGTACTGTAGGCAGAGAGATTGACACTTAGATACAAAAACCCGTGGTTTATGCCCCTTTTCCCCTCAGGTGCCTTAACCACCACCTTAGCAGTCAGTTTGTGGAAGACCAGTCGATGGTGGACATCTAATACTATTATTCACTGTGCGAAATACATCTTTTTTCGCTGGGGCGAATCAGTCGCTGGAGAAAATTGGTCCCAGGAGAAGGTCGGTCGCTGGAGTGAATTGGTCACAGGAGAAGGTCGGTCGCTGGAGTGAATTGGTCTCAGGAGAAGGTCGGTCGCTGGAGCGAATTGGTCTCAGGAGAAGGTCGGTCGCTGGAGTGAATTGGTCACAGGAGAAGGTCGGTCGCTGGAGCGAATTGGTCCCAGGATAAGGTCGGTCGCTGGAGTGAATTGGTCCCAGGAGAAGGTCGGTCGCTGGAGTGAATTGGTCTCAGGAGAAGGTCGGTCGCTGGAGTGAATTGGTCCCAGGAGAAGGTCGGTCGCTGGAGTGAATTGGTCACAGAAGCCAGTCTACCGTTTTGTTGATAAATTGTTTGAAGAGCTTGAGCTGAATATGAGGCAAAGCTTTGTAAGCAATATTACTACACTTCCTGGAGGCTGAACTAGCGTGGCTGGCCGCCATTGGTCGATTTCCGCTTAGCGCCTCACGCGATTGGTCCTTGGCGCCTTGAGGACGACCAATACGCGGCCGATCGGAGTTAAACCGTCCTATTTAAATTTGAATTTTGAATTCGCCGTTATTGGGGACCGAGGTACCGATAGGCCAGCAACTGACCTTCCTCCCCACCCCCACCCCCAGAATGGCTACCCCACAACAGCTACCTAACTCCCGCATGTAGTTATTCCCTGTAGTGAAGCAAGACATCAGGTGCAAGATAACATTCCCAAGCGTCAGTGTCCTGTGGTGGGAGTCTTTAGCAGGCGCTCTAGTGGTCGCTCTAGCGGTCTAGCAAGCCCTTTAGCAGGCGCTCTAGTGGTCTAACAAGCCCTTTAGCAGGCGCTCTAGTGGTCGCTCTACCGGTCTAGCAGGTCCTTTAGCAGGCGCTGTAGTGGTCGCTCTAGCAGGCGCTCTAGCAGGCCCTTTAGCAGGCGCTGTAGTGGTCGCTCTAGCAGGCCCTTTAGCAGTCGCGGAATCAGGCATGTTTCTGGGAATTTATGTTATCTGTTTAATGGCTTAGTGTTCTGTGATCCATAGTTTGCTCTCTCTCTCTCTCTCTCTCTCTCTCTCTCTCTCTCTCTCTCTCTCTCTCTCTCTCTCTCCCCTGGACAAAACTGAGGTTGTCGACCGCAGTACACAAATGATCTAACATGATCGTATCAGACCAATATTTCGCTAAACAGTTATTTTCTCTGAGTGGACGCCACTGCCCGTATTCACCAACCATTTACCCAACCAAAACGAAACCTCTACATCTGTCCCTTAATCATGACAGCTTTATTTACATTTAATTAATCAGTTTATGACCACCGAATCAATCCGAGGTTGTCTATAACACTTATAACCTTGAACTGTGAAGTTTCCAAGCCCATAAACGGTTCAATAAATCTAACCAAACTCGCTTTTGATTGAGGAAAGATAAACAGGTTTCGTAAAACGGGTTATGTAAAGCGTCGATAACTCGTGGCGGCCCCCCGGTTGGTGCTGGGTTTCTGAGAACACACACACACACACACTATCGGTCTCGCTTATCCGGACGAACCGCTTATGTGAGAGAAATTTGCACATTCGGTGTAATCTTATCGGAGGCGTGGAGCTGGTATCGCCCGGGCCTGGGGTCAGGGTGTGAGTTTACCCACCAAGTTCACAACTTTGGTCTTGGAACATGTACTGAACATGAATAACGTCTCAACTTAAAACTGGGGAACGTTTAGTCACAGCTAGGTGGTGGCTGGTAGGGTAGTGGGTGCTGGTAGTGGCTGGTAGGTGGTGACAACTGGTAGTAACAGCTGGTAGTGTTGTTGTTATAGATTCAGCTACTCGGAACAAGTTCCAAGCAGCACGGGCTATGGTGAGCCCGTAACTTACCTGGCACAGGAGCGGGGCTGTGTACAGATCGCGTCACTGACCCTATATCTCAGGGTTGGGTAAGGCGGCTTGACCAGGTGACTGTACACCAATTAACTGTGAACGAGCTTATTGCCAATGAACGATAGTTTTTCGTAATGTTTCGCTGTGTTTTCAGATAGACAGTGAGTCACCTTGTACCTTGTAAATCACCTTGAAAGTCACCTTGTAAATCAGTTGATTGACAGTTGAGAGGCGGGACCAAAGAGCTAAAGCTCAACCCCCGCAAACACAACTAGGTGAGTACAATCGGTCAGTCAGCACCTTCTCTCTCTCTCTCTCTCTCTCTCTCTCTCTCTCTCTCTCTCTCTCTCTCTCTCTCTCTCTCTCTCTCCCTCTCTCTTTCTCTCCCTCTCTCTTTCTCTCTCCCTCTCTCTCTCTCCCTCTCTCTCTCTCTCTCTCTCTCTCTCTCTCTCT